ATTGGAAGGATTTGTCTGGGGCTGGGGGAGCTTGGAGGGGTGGGTATGCTGAGAGTTGAGGTTTCTCTTCGGAGGTGCTGGAGTTCCTGCGTGCCCTCTTGTGGATACAGAGCTCTGCTGGCAATCACCAGATTCAACAGAAGGCAGCTTCTGTTCCCCACCTCCCCTCCCACAACGGAGGAGCGAGAAATTGAGGAGCAGCGTTGGAGCCTGCAAGGAGCATTTCTTCACACAGAGCAGCCTCGCAGCTTAACAACTTTGTGGGTTTTTTTCCAGCAGCTGGCTGTGCCCCCCAGGGTTTTCTTAATTAAAATCGGGTTCTGCTAGTGCTTTCAGGACTGTCATCTTCTGTGTTATGAGGCAGAGAATTACCATTCTGGTGGGTGGGTACAGCTAACTCCAGCCAGCATGGAAGGAGTGGGAATTAGAGCAGGAGACCTCTTCTTTTTCCTTTGTGCTGGCCACAGACAGGCTTGGAGTGAGTCTCCCATGAAACAGGTGCCAGTGCTTCTCCTTAAGCTCAAGTGCCACAGAAGAGGGTTGAAAATGGCATGGGGAGACAGACTGAGTTTTTAAATTTAGGCACCTAATGACACCAGTAAGAATCTGAAAAGTTCAGCTTCCTCACTTTCAGACACCTGCAGCTCTTACAGGTCTGACCCCGAGCACCCAGCCAGGCACTCAGGTTTTATGAGTTTCTTTGCTTTCATGTCCCCTTTAAAATTTCATTGTTGCCTTGAAAAGAAAATGTGCAAAGGTGTTAGAAGAGGACTGTGCGAGCAATTAAGACAGTCCAAGAATTTTCGGGAAGAGCAGTACAATCTCTGTCCCCAGGAGTTTGCTGCCTGAGCCTCAGGTCTTTCCTCTCAGTGGTAAAATTCTGGAGTTGTAGAGTCAGAGTTTCCTCTAAGGGCTGTAGCACTGCAGAAAGAAGGTGGGTTTTGCCCCATTCTGGCTCCTGTCAGTCAGTAGCCTTTGGCCAGAGCGGGAAGAGGGCAGTGTTGAGATACATCAGCTACGGTTGCAGTTCTAATAAGGAGTTAATAAATTCCAGGGACTCTCTACTGATGATGCCTGGCAAGGACAATTAAGGATCTAATCAACTTCAAGGCTCTGATCAGATGCTTCTTTTCTGTTTTGCAGTCTAAAGGATTTTTACAATTTCTATGAAGTTGTTGGCTTAAAATGGAAGGTGAGTATTTGTTGGGTGGAGAAGGGGGGGAAGCGTGTGTGTGGGAGGGAGAGCAAAGGAGGCCAGTGATGAGAGAGGAGGGAGAGAAGAAACAAAGGCAATCAAAACGAAGCAGATGCTGGGGATAAGGTGGGTCTCCATCACTGCACATTTCTTGTATGGATGTAGCATTGACAGCTTCTGATTGTGGCTGTTCCACTCCCAGGCAAAACGAAATCGTGAGCACTGGTTTGACGACCTTCCACGGACAGCGTTCCTTATTTTTAAAGGTAACAAGCTGTGTTTTCATGGCAGCACGTGTTCAACCAACAGGAAGAGCATTTTTTTACAAAGACAGGGGCTTCTGAAGGGACCTTCTCTTATGTCCCTGGTAAACAGCTGAGGGATGGGCTACTAACCAACTCGCTGTGTATTCAGAGCCTCCAAGGCCAGAGCCTTGTATTCAGAGTCTCTAAGGAGGATTTCTGTTGTGTAAATATTCCCTGTGCCCTGACCCCAACCCCAGCTTCCTTAAAATAAGGGACCTCTTGGCAGAAGTTCTGTAGTGAGGTCACGGAGGGCTGGATTGCTTTTTCAGCACGGAGGTTATAACGGGGATTTATGATTGTTGAATCTATCAGTTTGTGTCTCCGTGTCCCAGGCAGCAGCTCACAGCAGTGACTGCAGAGTGGGATGTGTGTTTTCACAAAAGCTGCTGGGCCTCCTGGTCCCAGGATGCGGTTGCAGCACCCGTCCAGGTCCAGTGCAGCTGCTGGGGAAGGGGAAAGAGGTCTGAAATACCCGTCAGTGTAATCGGTCTTGATAATGTGATTTATCTCCCGTGTCACAAGTTTCCGAACTGATGTAACCAGTCAGAAACAAGAACTTGTCTATCTGCAATTCTTTTTCAGGGTTTTATGGTAGCGGGAAATGGTTAACACCATCTTGATCCAAGCAAGCAGCAGCCACAGGAGTCCAGTACAGGCTAGGGGGTGAGGTATTAGAAAGCAGCCCTGAGGAAAGGGACTTGGGGGTGCTGGTGGATGAGAAGCTGGACATGAGCAGGCAGTGGGCAGTTGCAGCCCAGAAGGCCAATCCCATCCTGGGCTGCATCAAAAGA